CTGCTGAAAATGTAGCTGACTGTCTCACCAAAGGTGTGACGGGCCAGAAGCAGAAGTTCTGCGCTCAACGTATGGGTCTGCAGAATATCGTAAGCCAAAGAGTTGGTTTGGATCTTCAGTCCAACTGACCATCGTCCTAACTTTTGGGCCACTTGGATGAGTCACTAGGGCTCATCAGGCCAGTGATATTAATGTGCCTTAAGCATTGTTTCTTTGAGTTCTTTCTTAGATTGTAGCTTACGATAAGTTGGGGTGTTGTCATGTAAACGCCCCATTACGCTGTTAAGCGGTGGCGCCGTGTGGCGCTGTAGACGGTGAGCGCCTTCTTCGTCATCGTGCCGCGACTTCTTGTTATCAAAAATTTTTTCAGTTCTTCACAAGTGGCTAAAATATATATACACGTTTTTTCTATACGAAACCGATCTCGCGCTATTTTATCGAGTAATCCCGCTTCCTGAATACCCATCCTCAACAACGTACGATTATAATTTTAATCGGAATATTTGTACACGTATAACCTATATTTTATAACCTAAATTTAATCTTGATGTTCCTTTCAATTAGAAAAAAGAAAAAGAATTAAGTATTGTACGACTCCAACTAAGAGAGTGAGAGGCAGTATCTTTGAAGGTTCTCAACACCGCGACTATTTCTGAAGATAGTAAGCGAATTCTTGTATAAAAAGACACGATAGCAGAAAATGTAAGCACAATATAATTTTATTAAAATGATTCTGAGAAACATTCCAAAACGTTGCTTCAGAAGGAAATTTTACTAAAAAACTATATTTTACGTTTACGTTATGCATGCTATAGCTTTTTGGTAAAATTTTCCTCGAAAGCAACATTTTCAAATGTAGCTCAATTATATAGCAAAGTATTGCAGTTACTATATTATATATTTTTAATCGACAGAAAAGGAAAAAGACAACAGCAGAGCAACGGCTCTTTATGTTACAATTTATGGAGGAGCACTCAGCTCTGGCCCAAAATCGTTTACAAGGCATTAACGCAAAGAAACGATCGACCGAATTATATCAGCGATTAGCTGATCTCTTAAATAGTTGTGGAAATGGAGCAACAAAATCAACAGATAAATGGATAAAGGTATAAACATTATATTTATTATATATATGTATATTAATATATGTATTGCGACCGCACGCGTGGGTGCGAGGCAATACTGTCGAGGGTTCGCACGTCCGGGTCAAGCAGAGTTTCGCGTCCTGATCGGAGATACAAATAATTCAGATGTTACAATAATCGTCTCCGCGGATGTAAGCGGGGTTTGGGCGCCAGGCCCGCGTGAGCGAACCAAATTTATATAGTATCCGAGCTATCTCCGATTCCTGACGCACAGCTCAATAGATCGAAGCAACTTAGATCTTCGCGAAAAGTTTGGACGGGCGAACAACAACGGCGCGGAAAGCCGGCTAACCAGCTCCGACAATGGTAGAGGGGCGGTTCGTTAAATGCGAGGCTTAGGAGAGCGACAAGGAAGGAAAATAATGGCTTCTGTATTTAATAGTAATTAAGAGAACTATGTATTTTCAATGGTCTCGCGGGGCGAGTGGATACAGAGGCGAACACCTCGCGTGGTACTCGCGGGACGCGCGGGACGGAGCGCGCAAAGAGCTCCGGGGAGCGCGTATTCCGATGCCGATTCTTGGCGGACTAACGCCACGCCAGGACGCCTATGCGAATTACAGATAGTCACGGACGTAATACGGGACACGGGTGTGTATCGGATGGCGAACCGGGGTGACGGGAACCGAACGAGCTCCTTTAAATGATCACGCAACGCGTCGCCGTGGAGCCGCGGTACGCTTTGCGGGGTTACTCCGCGGCGCTCAAATAGTCTTCTCGAGCACGAGACCGAGGATCTGCATTCGCTTTGCGTTGGCGTTTTACAATGAGCGACTATCGTTCGATTCCGTCTCCCCGTCGGAAATTACCAGTCAAAATACTTGCCCGAGACGATCCGGACGTCCGATATACGGCGGACGCGGTGGCGGTAATCGGCGCGCGAGCGCACGCGGTTCACGCGTTCGCGGCGTGCATGGGCACGTGGCCCGAGATCTACGGCGAATCTTGTTTTTCGCGACACAAGAAAGTTAACGCTCTCGACACAGAATTTAATTCGACACGCGGAGACTCTAATCAATCCGACATACACAGAACGGCAAAACGAGCGCTCTCGCGACTTACAATTACACGATACAAACACGCGGTGACTCGGCCGGGCGAAGGCGAGCGCAAAGGCGACAATCGTAATGACGCGAAATTAGCGCAAGCGAGCGGGCGGTGCGATTTCGGATTCTTGCTACAAGCGAGACTCGCGGCTCTATCTTACACGGCCCTTGCGGCCGTTATAAGGACTTGATACTCTCACACGGCCCTCTCGTCTCGCGGAAACGGGCGACTTTACAAATTAGCGACGTTCGTCTCACCGGATGCTCTCCTGCTCCTCACTC